AATAATGAAACATGATAATAATCACAATGATGATGATGATGATGACAGAAAAGTCGGTTTATGATGATGATGGTAATACACAAATGGTAATATCCACCTGGGCCGTTGACTCACCTGTTAGCCAAGACCTGGTGTGGGCAGTGTACAAGTGGTGGCCTCAGAAGGCGGTTAAATATCTAATAATCCGTAACACTATTTCCTAATCTCCTACCTTGCGTTAAACTGCTTATCAATATTCATATACTCGTATCTTGACCTTACTCTGACCCCCCTTCTCCTGACCCTCTCATTTGGGGTCACTGGAGAACCCCTTCATCTACAAGTCAAGTCGGAATTGGTTAACACAGTTCTGTGACGCAGCTGGCTCTGATTGGCTAAGAGGTTAATGACACAGATAGTGGTGATTGGCTGGAAGTGCTCATTGTTCCATCTTATTTATGACGTACACTCAGTGACGTGTACCACTGTGATTGGTTGAAGGGGTTAATGGTTGTCACTATATATGTTATAACGAGGATAACTAATGTGTGCGTTGCATGGTGGTGATTTTTATTTGATCTATATATCCTGCATCACTTAAAACTCCCACAACAACGAGTCCTAATTAACCTATTCACAGCCCGCCATCTATTGCCAATGACATCTTCCCTGTGCACTAAGGCTCCGTTTATTTGGTAGCCTGACTCAAACTAACCTACTAATGATGATGTCTTTTCACGTTTAAGATCATCACATAGCAACCCAGTGTTACCAGAACATTTAGAACTGGGTGTATGGTAATCACCATTCATATGTATTTCAGCACATCTTTGAGAAGGTGATGTGTTATTTCAGCACAACTTAGAGAAGGTGATGTGTTTTTTCAGCACATCTTAGAGAAGGTGATGTGTTGTACAGTTAACCCACTATAACTGTGACTACAAAAGTGTAATTCTGAGGAACTTGATAATTGTTACACTTATTGAGGAATTGCAAAGTGTTTTACCCAGTCTTAAGTTCATAGACGGTGTTGAAGACGGCCTTTGTCCTAGTCCGTGCAGATGTGCTTTACTAGCAACAAGTGAGTGGGTTAACATGGACGAAAGAGGGACGATTGTGGGTTAACATGGACGAGAGAGGGACGATTTTGGGTTAACTTGAACGAGAGGGAGACGAGAGTGAGTTAACATGGACGAAAGAGGGACGATAGTGAGTTAACATGGACGAGAGAGGGACGAGAGTGGGTTAACATGGACGAGAGAGGCATGAGAGTGGGTAAACATGGACGAGAGAGGAACGAGAGTGAGTTAACATGGACGAGAGAGGGACGAGAGTGAGTTAACATGGACGAAAGAGGGACGAGAGTGGGTTAACATGGACGAAAGAGGGGCAAGAGTGGGTTAACATGGATGAGAGAGGGACGAGAGTGGGTTAACTTGGACGAGAGAGGAACGAGAGTTGGTTAACATGTACGAGAGAGGGACGAGAGTGAGTTAACATGGACGAGAGAGGGACGAGAGTGAGTTAACGTGGACGAGAGAGGGACGAGAGTGGTTAACATGGACGAGAGAGGGACGATAGTGGTCCGACACGGAGGAGTCATAATCGTTGCCAGAGACCCATGAGCTGCCATGTTCTCATTACCGAGGCAACCATAACACTGACCCCGTGTATGGCTGGCCTGAGTTATGGTGCCGGCTATTGTGAGGCTGTTGGCAATAATAGGTACCACCATCACCACCACCACACACCTTAACTACTACCGTCACCACAACCACACACCTTAACTACTACCGTCACCACCACCACACACCTTAACTACCACCATCACCACCACCACACACCTTAACTACTACAATCACCACCACCACCACACACCTTAACTACTACCTTCACCACACACACCTTATACCACCATCCACCACCACCACACACCTTAACTACTACCATCACCACCACCCACACACCCCAGCCAACCACTAAGCCCCTACCCACCACCACACACCTTAACTACCACCATCACCACCACCACACACCTTAACTACCATCACCACCACCACACACAGCCAACTACTGCCTTCACCACCACCACACACCTTAGCTTCTGCATCACCACCACCACACGCGTAACTACTGCCATCACCACCACCACCTTAACTACCGCCATCCACCACCGCACGCAGCCAACCTGCCATCACGCCACCCGCACACCTTATTTCACCCACCATCTACCACCACACCCCCATCAACCTACTACCTTCACCACCACCACACCTTAACTACCACCATCACCACCACCACACCTTAACTACCTCTCACCACCACCACTCTTGGCTTCTGCCATCCGCCACCACTATCACGCCTTAGCTACCACCATCACCACCACCACACACCTTAACTGCATCATCACCGCCACCATACGCAGCAACTACTACCATCACCACCACCACGCAGCCTTTCACCATCGCACACCACACCTTAAGCTTCTGCATCACCACCACCCACACACCTTAACTACCACCATCACCCACCACCATACACCTTCCAACTGCTACCATCTGCACCCACACGCCAACTACTGCCATCACACTCCACCACACACCTCCAGCTACACCATCACCACCACCACACACACCTTAACTACTACCCATCCACCTCCACCACACACACCTTAGCTACACCACCATCACCATCCACCACACACCTTAACTTCTCCTTCACCACCACCACACACCCCTTAACCACCACCATCACCACCACCACACATCTTAACTACCACCATCACCACCACTATCACACACACCTTAACTACCACCGTCACCACCACTATCACAGACGTTAACTACATCCACCACCACTATCACACACCTTAACTACCACCATCACCACCACCATCACAGACCTTAACTTTACCACCATCACCACCCACCACACACTCCCACACACCTTAACTGCCATCACCTACCATACACCTTGCTTACCATCACCTCCACCACACACGCATAACACTACCTTCACCACCACCACACACACTTAACACCACCATCACCACCACCACACCTCTTAACTACCATCACCACCACTATCCACACACACCTGCTTCACCGTCCACCACCACTATCACAGACCGTTAACTACCACCATCACCACACCACCACACACCTTAGCTTCTACCATCCACCACCACCACCCACACCTTAACTACTACCATCACCTCCACACACCTTAGCTTCACCACCATCACCACCACTATCACACATTAACTACCATCCACCACCACACACCTTAACTACACCCATCACCACCACCACCACACACACCTTAACTACCACCATCACCACTATCACAGACCTTAACACCACCATCACCACCACTATCACAGGCCTTAACTGCCACCATCACCACCACACACCTTAACTACCACCATCACCACCACCACACATCATAACTTGCCACCATCACCACCACTATCACACACCTTAACTTTACCACCGTCACCCACTATCACCCAAGAGTTAATACCATCACCACCACTATCACACACAGCCAACTGCCACCTCCACCTGCCATGCAGACGCTTAACTTCCACCACCCTCACCACCACCACACACACACGCATAGCTACCCATCACCACCACCATACGCATATTTCACCATCTTATCCACCACACCTTCTTCTCACCTTCACCACCACCACACACATATTTCACCACCATCACCACCACCACGCATCTTAACTACACCATCACCACCACTATCCACACACCTTAACTACCACCGTCACCACCACTATCACAGGCGTTAACTGCCACCGCCATCTTACCACCACCCACACCTTAACTACCATCACCACCACCACGCCAACTTCTGCCATCCTCCACCACACACCTTAACTACCTGTCCACCACTATCACATTAACTACCGTCACCACCACACACGCCAGCTTCACCACCATCACCACCACCACGCCAGCACCATCACCACTATCACAGACCTTCAACTACCACCATCACACCACTATCACCAGTATGCTACCACCATCACACCACACACATGCTTCATACCATCACCACCACCACACACGCCTTAACTACCATCACCACCACTATCACAGACTATGCTTCACCACCATCCACCACCACTATCACACACCAGCCAACTACCATACACACTATCACAGACCTTAACTACCACCATCACGCAATGTCACAGACCCCAGCAACTACCACCATCACCACCACTATCACAGACCTTAACTACTGCACCATCACCACCACTGTCAAACCTAAACTGCCACCATCACCACCACTATCCTGACCTTAACTGCCCCAACATCACCACCACCACACACACACGCCAACTACCACCATCACCACCACCACCACATAACACCACCATCACCACCACCACACACACCAGCAACTACCATTGCCACCACCACAAGCCTTAACTACCATCACCTGCCACTCACGCCAACTTCCACCACCATCTGCATCATCACACCTTAGCTTCTACCCTCCACCCACCGCACCTTAATTACCACCCTCCACCACAACCACACACCTTATACCACCATCTTACCGCTTACCACACGTACACCTTCCAACTACCACCACCAACAGCCCACCTTTATTTCTGCCATCACATATAATGCTTCTGCACCATCACACGCCAACTACAAGCGCAGCAACAGCTACAACCATGGCACCAGCCAGCACAGCCACGTTGCACCTTAACTCGCACCTGCACGGCAACTGCTGCCACTACGCGTTAACCCTGCCATTACATTTCTTTTCCACTCACTGCATTTTACACACTTTAACTACCACCACCATCACACATATCACTAATATCATCACTACCATCTTCACCACCGTCATCACACTTTACTATAAAACAGCTGATTTAGGAGTAGCACAGTTATCTAACAAAGTTCCAACCTCATTACATTGTATTTTTGTTTCCCATGGTCAAAAAATAATTTGATGTCATTGGTCGGAAGCCAAGAAAAGTGTGAAAAATGGACAGCTTCCGTGAATTCGAGTCTGACCCCTTCATGAGCAGCTCCAGCAGCTGCCACCAACAAGCTGCCGATTACCTAGATTATCCCTTCCCTCGAATCTCCTATGAAAAGATCACTATAGTTGAAGACTTGGGGGTGGGAGTGTTTGGTCTGGCCCGTCTAGTAAACTTGGAGGTGTCCTACGGCGAAACAATAGTTGCAGTTCTCAAGACCTCCCTTGGGGACCAATCCCTTATGTCCGAGGCCATGGCTCTCCATGAATTGAACGGAGCTGGCGGTGCTCCGATCCTGTATGGAGTAACAAGTGAAGACCCCCAAGGCCTGGTCATGGAATACTGCCCTGGCCTAACTTTGGACCATTTTTTAACTTCACGCACAAAAAGATCATGCCAAAAGGTCTACGGTGCCATCCAAAAGGCATTAATTAAGTTCCACGCCCGTGGTTACGCCCACATGGATATACACCCAGGTAATATAGTTATCGACGACTCAAGCCGACCATTCAAAGTTCACATTATAGATTTAGGCTCCGCTGCCCGGCTGACAAACGACAGAAAAGGCGAAGCCCATGACTTGTGCAGCCTCACCAGGATACAGAAGGTAATAAAGAGGAAGTGCAGCGACATCCGCTGAACTCCATATCCCTCTTCTTTACTACACCCCGTACTCCATAACCCAATCCAAATATAAATATAATAATATAAAAAAGAGAGAAGAGCCAGTCACTGCCTGGTCATTTTCCTTCGTCACGGTCTTTTGTCTTTGTTTTCTTGTTTGTTTATTTTTTAGGTTTGTAAATTATCTTCGGTGTCAGTTCGTGTCTGTCTGGATATATTTGTAATTTGATAAAAATAAAAGAAACTCTCCCCTAAAAAAAATAACTTTAATTCGCTCAAGTACGATAACTAAATCCCTAAAGAAAACAATCTTAATCACCACTCGAGTTCGACGCCTTAAGCCACACACTATCAAATATGTTTGTCAAACACGATGTCAAACATCATACATCGACACCCTTTACAACTAGAATGATCAAACTACAGTTGGTGTCTAATACGCTCCGCCTCAACACTGGGTGACAGCATGAGTAAGGAGGCAGCTTTTATACTTGCTCTTGAAACAGAAACTTCAAAGAAAAAAGAAAAAAGAAAATTATGGATGAAGGAATAGCACAGAAAAAGACCCAAGTTCTCTCACGACGCCCATTTAAAGGAACTAGCGGTATCATCTCCTCAAGATTATAAGAACTTTTTGAGAATGGATAATGAAACTTTCGTTGAACTGTTGGCGAAAGTGAAGTCATACATAAAAAAGAGGACACTGTCTTGATAGATGCCATACCAGCAAGTCAAAGACTCTCTATTGGGTATAGCTACGCACCTCACTAACCTCCCGTAGGCAATGTAAACTACGCACCTCACTAACCTCCCGTAGACAATGTAAACTACGCACCTCACTAACCTCCCAGAGGCAATGTCACAGAATTAAGAAAATGGCGTGTCATTTTTCCCAAGACTTTACTTTAGTCTATGTTTACTGGAAGTGATTTTTCATCCTCTATATAGGAGGAAAAAAATCTTACGAGAGAGGGAGGAAGGAGGAAGGGTGAGAGGGAGAGAGGGAGAAGGGAATGAGGGAGGAGAAAAGGTGGGAGAGAGAGAGAGAGAGAGAGAGAGAGAGAGAGAGAGAGAGAGAGAGAGTTGCAAGGTAGGAGCCAGAGGCCATGTAAATACGGGTTAGTTTACCACAATTACATTAAGTGATGAGGTAATTATCATTAGTCTCACTCCCTTCATTATTACCTCCTTAATTAGCCAACACCAACCTGCGCTATCCATCGCCCTCACGCTCCGTTTTCTTCGTGTCTCATTTTCTTTTATGCTTATCATTTTTTTTTCATTTCCCTTTATTTGTTTATCCATTTCCTTGTTACTCGTTTTTCTTATCTCCTTTCCTTTATTTCTTGTTTTCTGTTTCTCATTTTCTTCATATCTCGTTTTCTTCGTTATGTATCTTACTCACATCTCGTTTTCTTTGTGTCTCATTTTCCTCGCATTCCGTTTTCTAATCACAGTTGACCGCCCGCTAAATAATTCTACACCCAGCCACTCATTAGACAGTTCATTCTAACGTACCAGTCGCTCCAGTCTTCCCCCCCCCCACACACCCCTCACAAGACGAGCACCAGTTTGTATACAGTTAAGGATGTGAGAAGACAAGACAGGTATCAAAAATGGCGACGAAATTGCACTAAGACTGCCATGATCGCGTAGCTGTGTTGTCTCTTGTAAACTAACCTTGTGTATCTCTGTGTCACTCCCTAGTATAACCTAGTGTAAACCCTCCCTAGTATATACACCCTAGTAAACCCTCCCTAGTATACACACCCTAGTATACCCTCCCTAGTTTAATCCACCTAAGACATTTTGGAAGCTACTCTTTGCTCTTTGCTATGATAAACCAGTTAGTTACCTTCAGTTACAATAGTCTCAGAGTCACTTGGTCATCATTTTGGCCGACTCTACACGCCCCCTCCAACCATCCCCCACACCTGTCTCTCATTTCCAGCCACAGGTATAACTAGAGTTCCGATAAATGCTTTCTTGAACGAGGTAAAATTGTCCGTAATGATGATGAGGATGTGTGTGTTTGTGTGTGTGTGTGTGTGTGTGTGTGTGTGTGTGTGTGTGTGACGATTACTCCACACCGTAACGCTTGGAGGAGCACCACACGAGCAGGGGTCAATACTTTCGAGTTAGCCCGACTGCATACCGAGGCAAACAAGCGCTAACGCCGGAAAGACGCTGCCGCCGTCCTTCCCGCACTAGATGTAGCCCTCCATACGTGCAACATCTGTGGACGACCCTGCCGGTCCCGTATCGGCCTCTCTAGTCACCTCAGAGCTCACCAACGAAGGTGACATCCTTAATAAGTCATATCATTGTATCAAAGCTGCATGATCGTCATACTCAATTCCGAGTGGCAGCAAAGTAGCAGTAGTAGTACTAGTAGTGCAAGAAGGGGGGCTTCATATGCATGAGGCGAGGCATGACGAGGTAAGGGATCTCACAGCAAATATGTTGAAGGAAATCTGCCGGGACGTCATGGTAGAACCGACCCTCCTTCCATTGGATGGCGAGATCTTTCAACACAGGACTTCAAACACGTCTAACGAAGCCCGTGTGGACGTCAGTGCTCGAGGATTCTGGACGCGGGGACAGCGAGCTTTCTTTGACATCAGGATTTTTGATCCCATGGCCGCATGTCACCGCAACCTAGCTCTCGATGCTGCACACAGGAGGAACGAGAACGACAAGAGAAGGGCATACGGGGAGAGAATTCAAAACGTTGATCAAGGCAGCTTCACTCCTCTAGTGTTCACAACCTCTGGTGGGATGGGCCCAAGTGCAAGATGTTTCTACGCCAGACTCGCGGAGTTGATCTCCGAACAGAAGCAGTAGCCCAGAAGTTATGTTACAGCCTGGATGAGATGTCGACTGTCTCTCTCTCCTTCGGTCGGCTTTGCTCTGCCTCAGGGGAACGAGAGCTTCTGCCCCTACTCCGACAACTGCTGCAGATATTGACAGTCACTGAATGCCGCATAGATCTGCGGCTCAACTAATTTAACACAGATAGGATAGCTTCTTATGTATTAGGATATTTAATATTAAGGTAAATAAATGGAGGCGAAGGTGTGGCTATTGGGAGGCTGGAGGCCACGTTAAAAAAAAATAAAAATAAAAAGGTAGTAGTAGTAGTAGTAGTAGTAGTAGTAGTAGTGTGTGTGTGTGTGTGTGTGAAACCGCAGCCAGTGAAGCAGTCCTCCTTATGACTATTGGACAGAAAATACAACATAAAGCCATTCACCTTACTGCCTGCTTATCTCTTCTCTATATCCTCAATGCATCTCTTCACTGTGCCTTGTCTACCGCTAGTTCCATGGTCGGTGTCCCAGTGAAAACTAATTTATCATCTTCCCTCTACCCAATCTCAGTCGCATCACACACCAGTCCCTACCTTACCATCCCTTTAGTTGAACCTCGTCAACATTCACCTCCTTCATTCCTCTCACTTCTCGATCACAAAACTCCCTTTCCTCTCACATCTCTCCAGCAACCTACACCTTAATAAATAAAGGCCATATATCACCTTTTAATATACAACAAACTAAATGTTTTTATCTTTTTTTACTCAGCGTGTACTAGAAAAACCTAACCTGGATATAATATGTCAGTCTATCAGGCCGTGGTGTCATGTGTATTAAGAAAGTTAAAAAGCAGTTATCAGAAAAAAAAATAATAATATGAATCTTTGGAATACACATCAATGACACGAAAGAACAGAAATAAATAATTAAAAATAAATGAATAAACAAAGTAAATCAGAGAGCCTTAACCAGGAGTAATAATAAAAACCATGATGAATAAGTGGGACTCATTAAGTACTGAGAGCCACACTTGATCAGTCACCCATAACAAGTACGTTTTCTTTGATACAGTTACGACAACAAAGACACGCACTTACTCGGTTTGGTGTTTACAGTACCCTTCATTAGTGTTGTGTTGCTATGTCTCTTTCTCCTCTTTGTTTTCGTGTCCTTCTTCGTCTCTTTCTGTTCTTCTCTGTATTTTCTTTGTATTCTCTTCTTTTTTATTTCTCTTTTTATTATAGACGAATTCCATTAGAAAAAACTGTGTTATTTAATACAGCCATTGAAGGAGGGAGAGTGGGGAGGGAGAAAAAGGAACGAACGAACGAATGAACGAAAGGAAAGATGGAAGAAGAGAAGTGAAAAATCTGTAGTGAATGAATGAATGAATAAATAAACACGGAATAAATGAAAGAAAGAAGTACAGAATAATACAGAATGAATGAATGAATGAATGAAAGAATGAGGGTGAAAGAGCAAATTAGACATGATAAAGATGAAGAAGCAGAGGATGACAGAGAGACGAAGTATTCCCGCTCCTCCTCATTAATGGCATCATCACTCTGCTGTCCACCTGATTCTCAACAACCCAGGTCACACATTGTCTCATTGACTGGGGGCTTGTGGCCATCTGATTGTGTGATGGCTCCAACAATCTGAGTAGTTGAAGGGTCAGAGAGAGAGAGAGAGAGAGAGAGAGAGAGAGAGAGAGAGAGAGAGTATAATACTTGGGCTTTATCTGATTTACTACAGGTTTAGGTTATCTGATTGGCTGAGGGATGGGTCCACAGATGTAAACATTGACAGTTACCCTCTAACGATACTAATGTAGAATGCCGACGATCACGTAAACATTGATATGTAGTTCTACCAGAATGAACAAATCTTCACGAACGATAAAAAAAGTCTCTCGATGTACTGTGCTTTATTATATGAATGAGAAGTAAAAAATAATAAAAAAAGGGAAAAAATACGAAAGAAACTAAAAAAAAAGAAAAAAAAAAGACCTACAAAATAAAATAAACAAGCAAATATAATACACAAAAAAAATTAACAATGTAAAAAGCACATGAAGATAAATCTATGAACAAACAAATAACATAAACATCTTCGAAAAAAGAATTCAGACTGAAAATATGAAAACAAATTAATTAATAATATTTAAAGTAATCTGAAAAAAAAATAGCGGAAATAGAATGTAGAA